CCAGGTGGATGTTCATGTGTCGGCGTGCGGCGGGGACGAGAGTCCGTTAGTGGAGAAAACTGGCATGGAATACTCCGGTAAAGGGATGCCAGAGATTGGGTGTCTTATACCGAGGGAGAGGGAGGGAGGGAGGGAGGGAGACAGACAGAGAGAGAGAGAGAGAGAGAGAGAGAGAGAGAGAGAGAGAGAGAGAGAGAGAGAGAGAGAGAGAGAGTGAAAGGAGGGAATAAAATGGAAACAATTTCATCTCGGTTCGCCTTTGCCGAGATGCTTCCGACTTCTTCCACAGAACCACAAGCTGACGTCTCGCGCCGTGGACGTTGTTGAAAATTATGGTGCTGTTGGGCCCTCCTGTCTCGCGGGGCCAAAACCGCAGGAGGACGGGTTGTAACAGGGCGGCCTCCGTAGAGTTGTGCAACGTGGGAAAATGGCACCGATCCCCACACATTCCCAACGCGTGCGGTGCCGCTATAGGCATGTCCGCCGTGTAGAAACAAGACCGCTCCAACCATTTGGGGTTACTGGAAGTGATGCGTGTCATCGCATGCACCAGGGAAAAGAGAAAAGAGCAAGAACGATTTTGTTTGATGTTGTAAGACGAAGGAATCGCCGTGTGCTGTAGGACAACATATTCGCTTCCAATCATGTATTTTTCACGCTCTGGAGCTCCAGGCGATACGATTCCAAGATATTTAAGTTTCCTTTGAAGGTGTAGGGCGACCAGATTCACGCTCTCATTTCAAAAGCGACCCACTCCCCAAAGAACGATACGACATTCAATCTCCCCGGTGAAGGTTGTCGCCTGCTCTGACACGCAGCTTGTTGTACATGCTGTATGGAAATTCACTCTTCTCCTGGTGGTCATTTCCAATGAGTGAGCTGGTGAAAACATCATCATCGGTAGGGATATAAATGACAGGGAGAGAACCAACGAGTGCAGTCAATGTGAGTCTGCGCGAGACATTGTGCGGGGGGTACCGACGCATTGCTTGGCTGAAACTCCCTCGTCTTGATGGCGCTCATCCAACCTCCAGTGATTGTTGGGAAATTGAAGATTGTGAAGTCCAAACCAACTATCCCGTCCAAACACGTCAGGAGGAACTCGCGAGACGGGGTAAATAAAGCGGGGAAGCTGGAAAGGGCACATTATTGTGTGAGGCGTATGTAGACAATAAAAACCGAGGTTTATTAAAACAAGTCCAATTGCCATGCCGCTCATATCCTTTACCGGGAAAGTATTGGCTGCGTAGTACGTGGCCCCTCGAACGGATGTGGAAATTGCTCGTTGACTTGAATTTTGGTGGGAAGTGAACTTGCTACCTTCAGGCTGTGTGTCACTGGGTGTAGACGTAACAATCATGGGGGCTGCCGTTGAACGGGTGTGCAACTTCCTACATCCCGCGAGCTGAGTTCACGTGTAAACACAATGAATGCTACATATCTCTTCTGCTCTACCTGCGCTCGGGATCTGTTCATAAAATGGAAAAAACAACGCGTTCGCTGGTCGTGAAACCCCGCACGTCGTTTATTGGTGAAGGATCTCATCATTGAAGTTGGCCGCTCATTGGACGCGTCTTCAATTGTCGGAGGTGGATTTACTATAATCACGGGCTCCCGGTGCCGGACCTAGATACTATGTTGATTGTGTAGATTAAAGTATGTATGTCCGTACCAAATTGATTTTTTCGAGCAGTATTCCAGGTAGTAGTCGCTGCAGTGTGGCTGCCACCCACTCCTGTACGTCCTTCAACGAAGCGCCGCGTACGAACGAATACGATATTAGCCATCCTCCATATATATGCAGAAAACAGGGCGGCGTCGCAATGAACCCGACCGTCCGGTGTTCACTTCACTTCTTCCTCTAACCTTTGTCAATTCGTACTGACCGCTAGGTAAGGAATTTATGTTTCAAGGAAACACGTCGTGCAACCGCTCGGGTACACCTACGACAAGGTACCCAGGCAAAAAACACCGGGACAGGAAGTAAGATGATCAACGAAAGCAAAGAAGAAGACGCCGAAGACTCGCGACCCCAAGGGAAAAAGCAACTTGCAAGGTGCAGCGAACGGTTGGTACGTTGCATTGACGTCCCTCCTGCACCACTCTCAACGCACCGGCCACTCTTCCGCTACGAGACCGAGCAGGTGAAAGGAGGGCCGCGTGAACTCCCGTACAAGAGACTCTTGAAGAGATGAACTTCTCTTTCGTGTTTGCTGTAAGAACAAAGTATGCACATAAAAAGCTTTGGTGACTGTTCGTGCTTCGGCATTTCTTTCTTTTGCGGCAGCGAGTATTTTATGGCGATTCCTTCGCAAGGGCACGCAGGAGGCGAGTCGGTACAGTAATGCTTGTTGTGCCCGGAGCTCGATAGGCCTCCGTCACGCGTGTGGTTGACGGTCAAAGTTGCGAAAAACTGACTCAACACCCCGGGGGCGCGTTCCGGGCAGACAAAATGCCTGGCGAACCAATTCTGAAACCCATGAAAAACGACAGTGTTGAAATATTTGCCTCTTTGCTTTTTTTGTCATTCCCACTTCATTCATTCATTCATTCATTCATTCATCGCTAATTCCATATGGATGGCTGTCACTCTTCGTCGTTTCATCGCAGCGATTCCTTCGCAAGGGCACGCAGGAGGCGGGTCGGTACAGTAATGCTTGTTGTGCCCGGAGCTCGGTAGGCCTCCGTCACGCGTGTGGTTGACGGTCAAAGTTGCGAAAAACTGACTCAACACCCCGGGGGCGCGTTCCGGGCAGACAAAATGCCTGGCGAACCAATTCTGAAACCCATGAAAAACGACAGTGTTGAAATATTTGCCTCTTACTTTTTTTGTCATTCCCACATTCATTCATTCATTCATTCATTCATCGCTAATTCCACTTCGATGGCTGTCACTCTTCGTCGTGTCATCGCAATGCAACAGTACCTACCTGCGCTTGGTCTTTTTCACTTCGCAGCGGGCAAAGTGAAACGTTGGCGCTGCCGTAGATAAGTCTTAGCGCATGCACCCGCAGTTTGTGTCGGGCATGTATTGTTTGGGGTGCTATTTCGGAGTCAGTCGCGTTCGTTTCTCATTGGAAATCTGCCATCGTCAGCCAAGACATCATAGCAGGCTGAGCTTTTTTCGCTGGCAAGTTATTGTTCTCTGCTCGAGCTGGTTCTACGGAAAAATAAATACGTGCGCGATGCTTTGTAAGGAATATGAGCGGTACAAAACTGCCCATCAAACACAAGACACACGGCCCATCGGCAATGCGCACGTGGTCTTGCGTCACCCGCGGAAGGCTTGACACCCACGTCCCAAAGGGAGACCTTGCACAAATTATATATAACCAAAAACAAACGTAGATAAGACAGGCTCAGTCGGCGGGCTTGTCGCTTGCCGCCACTCTCAGCATCGACGAAACTGAGCGGCGAGAGGGAAGCGACGTCAACGTTGGACGTCTACCCCGCCGCCCTTGACTTTCTGAAGGAGAGCGAGACTACGACTACAACTGAAAACTGTATCTTGAACTCGTCACTTGACGCAAAAAATCATCAACGTCACAATCCACCGGAGGCACGCGAGTGAGTCCAATTTCTACACAACCGCCATGACCACATAGATGCAGTAGATGGCAGTCTCCCACACGCAGAGTGCAGATATCCGCAAGAGATCCTTGGAACAAGAGATGAGTGAGTGAGCTGGTTGTAGTTGTTTGTCGTGACGGTGGATGGGTACATATATGGGACGATCTGCTATCTGCTGCGGCTGTTGTTTGGTAGAAGAAGACGGCCGGGAGGTGTCACGCCTAACACATTTTTTATTGGCCATTTTTTCCCCAACTAAATGCTTGCCCACCTGCGGAATCTTCATCTCCGAAAGAATGTGCATATGTGTTGAAAAGGACACAACAAGCAAACCGCCAGAAGTCTTGCCGCTAGCGGGCCGAGCGAATTTGATCAACGCCTGGGAGGCATTTCAGCGAAGGAAGGGCAGCGAGCTAACCAGAGAAGGAGGCGAAAACCACACCCTACCTCCAACGGTAGCTCTGTAGCTCTTTGCAATGTATTGCTTAATCAATTGATGTACTCACTTGTCGTACGTCGTAGGTATGTAGTAAATACCCGTGATCCCTGCTGATACTATATAATGTGCTATATTGTTTGTTGCTTTGCACTATTCTCGGTTGTTGGTGATTGAGACTGACTGTGATCAGCAGCGACCTTCAGGATTTTCTCACGTCCGCATTGTCCCCGTACTATGATATTCAAAGTACAGAGTATTTTTGCATGAAAACATGCACACACATGCACCATCCATGTGCTTCTCATACTGCACGCATTCTTTCATCTCTTCTTTGTACAAGGTGCCGACTCGTTTTCAACACGAAACTTGCATTTATCCACTACCGGTTGGGTATAGACTAGTTGTTGGAGGTCATACTGCGAGAACCTCTGCGAGCACTAAGTCATCGTTCGGGGAGGCGCAGAAAATCTGATGCCACGTGGTCCCGCAGCTCGCAGCTGGTCGCTCTTCTTGCGAAGAACGTTGGAATCGCGCCTGTTTCGGTTTTCTGGACGTCGGTCTTTAGTATAGGCTACATCTTGCTTTTGTCGGTACAATTTGCTTCACGCACCAGCCGGGTTCACACCACAGGGGGGAAGGTCGCGCAGGAGCACACGAGACATGTTTTCTCCACCCACCTCTTGTACTCATGGACTAGTCTACCTATCTATCTATCTATGTAGGCCGCTGATCCTGCCTTGCGTGCACGTCACGCCCGCAGTCACGGCTAGGGGTGTCGATTCCCTCCGGCAGGACTCTGCATTCTAAAAGGTTACCAAAAATTCTTTTGTCGTGCAATAAGTCAAGATCGGGTTTCCATTTGGTTCGGAAGGCATCGATCGATTGTGAACCAAACCGAACCATCCACGGTCCAGAACAGCCAGGCGGCCGACGGCAGAGGGTGCTAGGTGCTAGGGCGCCGCAGAGCTGCCGCAGGGCACAGCGCTCCCAGCTCGCAGCTCCCAGCCAGCTCCAGTGCTCAGCGCGCAGCCTGCCTAACGGCTTGCGAGGGTCGGGGCATAGGGAAGAGATAGGAAGAGGCCGGAGGTGTGATGCAGCAGCAAGCTGATGAGGACGAGCTTGGCTTGTCCTCCGCGGCGTTGGCAGCTCTCAAGGAGTTCGCTCTCGAGAACAACATGCTTGGTGAGTGAGTGCCTCTAGTCTACATCTCTGCCGCCATTCCGGAACGTGTGAAGTGTATCTATATCTCTAGAGAATAGAGCTGCACACGCCTGTTCGGGAACAGCCTCACGGATCCGGGCTCCTGTGTTCGCGAAAATACTGCCTGTGAACGCAGTTTGGGAACTGCTGAGTCTGCTGCTGCTGCCGTACCTACTGTCCGCGTACCAAATATTCCCGAAGAATGCTTGTAGAAATGTATTCCAGATACACGGAGAAATTGGACAAGAATATAAACCAGGGTGGTTTTTTCCTTTGGTACGACGGTTGCTTGCCAGCCCCGGTTTTCAGTATTACAGCATCCAGCTCGACAGCAGTCCTACATGTAAATCAAAGATTAAATATCGAAAATGGCGCTGCCACTTGCTGCGTAGTTCCGACTTGAACTTCCGATCCAGTAGAGGACGTCATGGAGCAACGGCATGCGTATTGACATGCCCAGATATATTGCTGGGGCCGTGCTGTGGAAGGCTGCAGCTGCGTGCGGCCCGAAACGTCCGCAAAATCTTAGGCCGTGCCATTCATGACCCACTGCTGCACGCGCCGTCACAGTTGCAATACCCCCAGCTGTTGGCTACAGCAGTAGCTTGCAACACTATTTTATTACCTTCGACAAAGTGCAGCAAAGATTGGGTCTGTGGCGGCACGTTCAGCAGTGGATCGTGAATGGTATGGACCTAAATAGCGGACGTTTCGGACCGGCACTGCACTCTCCGACAGCACGGGCCCAGCAACAGATCTGGGCGTACCAGCGCGCATGTCGCTGCTCCATGATCCCCTCTACTCGTATGGATGTCCGAGCCGGGACTATGCAACGCAATGACCTTGTTTGAGCACCCGCCGTGTGTTTCCTTGAATTGGGAAAGTTGGGGGGGGAATATGCCTAGGGCGTGTGGAGGTATGTAGACTTCGTGATACGCTGGGTAGAGACAAGTCCCAACCGTTGCTCAGTGCGACAGCTAGAGTAGAGTTTTGCGGAGGACTGCTTCCCAACCGGTCTGGTGCATCTCGTGTGCGCTCCTCGGGTCTTGTTCGCAATCCGTCAAAATTAAGACCAATCTGGAAGAACCCTTAGAGATTCTTTCTCCAACCTCGCTCCACCACCTTGTGTACCACGAGTATTGGCTCCTCAAATGTTTTTTTCCATGGTCACAAGCAAGAACGATAGCGAGCACATCGCGAACCCATGTTCAAAAAATACGGGGCCGAGGGCTGGACCCGGCCCCACAACAGTAAAGTGCATCCTTGTTGTGTTGCATACTCAACACTTTGGCGCGGTCTGCGCACAACGGTGTCCAGGTTTCGTCCGGAACGTCCCAGACCGGCAAATGCACCGCTGTTGCTCCTTCTCCTGCTTTGTTGGCGTGTTGGGTACATGGTTTGCGAAAACACAGCCTCAGCAGCACAGCCTTCAGCGTCTGCGGGCTTGGCCTTAACCGCCTCTCAGGGGTTTTCCTTACCTTGCTCGTCGTCGAGCGTGTTTTTTACTATGGTTGGCGCTCCGCTTGCACGTGAAACGTCTACATGCGCCAACGACAAGCATACCTTTTTGTGGAAATGTTGCACTGCATGGTTGTGAGCGGACCGCACCATCGTGCCGCTTTTTTTTTCTTCCGGAGAGACGTTGCTATTTTGGCCGCTGCTCCCACTGCCCGCAAATACGTTGCATTTACCGTGTTGTCTCGGGCGGGGGGGGGAGGTTCGCGGATTGAATCTTGAAGGATGGTGAAAAAGCTCCCCATTTTCATCGGCTTATGGATTCGATGGTTGCCCACCAGTGGTAGCTCTTGTGCTATTGCTGCGGTCTCATCCGTTGACCTTTTTTGGTGTCGGAGGACGGGCATGTACCATATTTGTTCCCAACGGCGGATACTGAATGTTCTTCCTGTCGGAGTCCAAGACTACTATGATTGTGCTGGTAGGCCCTCCGCGTGCTGTCTAGTTCCCATAGTGCAAAGCAGTTCACCATGCGGCGTTTGTTTCCCTTCTTAAGCCTCGAGAACCCCTCCCCCCTGTAGGCCCGGAAGGAGGAGACGACGACGTTGTAGATGTGCGGCTCCAGGTGCAGGAGCGTATGGACGTCAAGGAGAGGACGCACGAGTTTTCCTTCACTTTCGGGGACGATGGCGACGACGAGCAGGTGACAGTTGCCGCCCCAGGTGACGATGCCGAATAATGTTTTTTCCGCCGCATTACGTACTGTGGGCCAACTGTCGACGGCAAAGGTCTGGGCCGAAACGTGCGACGTACATATTTTTGTGGCCCTGGGGCGAGCACCTGAGTAGAAACGTCTTGGAAGCATGCGGTTCGGTGTTGGCTGGTGCCCGTTTAGCCGTGAGCATAGTTGTGCCGGGGGTCGAACCTCTTCCCCTGTGAACTCAAGCGAATATGCAGGCGAAGGTGCGGCGAATTGTGCGGAATCGGTTTTTGCGGGTACCGCGCAAAGCACCCATCACCATCATCGACAGTATTCTCAAGATGGCATATATGATGGTTAGAGTTACTTCTCTGTTGCTCGCGTCGCTCGCCGATCCCCGATCGTGTGTGCGTGCTTTTTACTGGCTCCGTTGTTCCCCACGTTTTAACACTACACCCACGTAACCGCATGAATGCGGTGCTTCTTGACGTAGGTTTGCATCGCCCTGGCTGGCGTCAACCCGGAGCTGGGACAGACGCTGGCCAGCACCGGGCTGACGGTGTGGAGGGCTGCCCAGGAGATGGCCCGCTTCATGTGGGAACACAGGTATCCGACACCCACACGTAACTTTTTGGCCAGCCGCTCAAGCAGATACTGGGGGATGTTCTTTACGCCGGAGAAGGTTGTGGGCGAGTATTTACGGTGACAGTGTCAGAGCTTAGGATGTGTCTCTGACACTCATGGCATGCCATACAAGGGGAGCAGGGGAGGCGATGTCCTTTGTGTAGGAAAGCAGGCAAGGGCATCTTGATGCTTTCGGTTTCAAGACGGGGCGACAGGACCATCACCTCGCGAGCTGTTGTTGACAGGCGTGCGCAGCAGCACGTTTAGGTACTCGGGGTTGGCCACCACTTGGACGACACTCACACTACACTACACTGAAACTCTTGGCAAGCGTGCCAGCACCTACAGACATGAGAATCACCGTAGCACCACTTTTGGCCTTGTTCACCGATCAACAGCGACGCAACCCCACCCCCCCTTTGCTTCTTTTGCCTTCATGGCATCCCGCTGAAATGACGGGTTGTCGCCTCATCCTGCGCTTTGTCCAGACGGTGGTTCGCAGGCAAACGGGTGGTCGAGCTGGGTGCGGGGTTGGGGCTGTGCGGCGTTCTTGCGTCCAAGCTTTGCATCGGCGGAACGGTAAGCGTTGTCGTGCAAGTTTTCTCACACTGTATGAGATGCTTATCGCTTGCGTGTTGCATGCTGTTCGTTTCCTCTCCGCCGCATCTGTCGAGTAGTCTGTCGAGTAGTAGCCGCGGCCGCAGGCATGAATCTTCATACAGAGCAGTGTCGCTTGGCTGCATTCGATCGGGGAGAAGGTTTATTCTGCTCTTGCGGTGAGGTGTTACTCGCACGTTGTGTCGACGTGGTTGAAGCTCGCCGATCTGCGTCGTATTCCCTTTTCCTCGCGTCGTTCTCGGTTGGATATATAAATGAGAAAAAATTTAGTGATGATGAAGATGATGTTGAATGAATGCCCGATACACCTAGTCAGCGGGAGGGTCACCAGCTAGCTTGAGGCTGTTCTCTGTCAACCGTGCCCCGGTAAACACAGCAAACGTTTGCCCATGCCGTGACGTGACATAGGTTGTGATAACCGACGGTGGAGAGGAGTTCACAGACTCGGCCATGGATGCACTCAGAGCAAACTTGGTAAAGAACTCGTGTAACCTGCTGGCCCAGTCGCCGGCGAGAAACGGCAGCAATGCTGCCGTTGGTGGTCGTGATGCTACTGCTGCTGCTGCTGCTGCGGCGGCGGCGGCCGAGAGTGAGGCGCGGGTGGCGTTGGAGAAGCTAACGTGGGGAGAGCACGAGGCTTTCTTGGGGCGGAACGGGGGTGGAAGCGACCGAACCACCGACGGCGTCAATGACGGAGATCACCAAGAAGGGCGGGGAGGGTTCGACTTTGTCGTAGCGGCCGATGTTATATGTGAGAAACCATGGACACCGAACGTATCTCATTGCCCCGCATCGTGATTGGCACGGCTACACGCTTCCTCTAACTGTGACGTTGCCGAGGCCGAGCTGTTTCTGAGGGCGGTGGAGATTGTGGATATGGTGTTCCGCCATGTAGAACGGGAATAGGCCCCCGTGGATAGCGCGGGTTGGGGGATTTGGAGACACACACAAGAAGAGGGGGGTAGATCTATTCTTTTTTCTTTTTTTTTTTGCCACGGTCGATAACATGGCGTCATGTTTTTTTCTCGAGTGCACACACACTCGCTTGCTGTATGATTAAGAGGACTCGGTCGGCGACTGCCAGGCTTGGTTTCGCAACACCAACTTGAATGTGATCGTGTCTTCCAACGCTATGAAACAGCGTTGTAGAATACGGTATACGCTCGTGTCGGCCCCTTATCATAGTTGTCGACGACGGGGCAGGCGGTGATGTCCCACGACAACTTTTTCATATTTTTGCAGGAACTGTTCTTGTCGGCGCGCTCGTCTAGAGGCGGCGACCCCAAAGCGGGAGATACCCTGCAGTGTACGTGGCTCGAAAGACGCTCTTCTTGCGCGTGCACTGTGAAGGCTCTCTCTCTCTCGTCTCTGTGCCTCATGCTTCCGTTATCGGCCCTGGATCCTGGCAATGAAATCATGGATGGCGCGGCCATGGACACAGTACTTTGTCTGGGAGAACCCTCACGATAATGCTTTCTCGCGTCATTTGAAGGTTTGTGATTTGAGGTTTTGCGTGCGAAGGAGGGCTGGATGAAGAGCGGGTATCTGGCTGTACCAACTTGAACCCCCGCGCGCATCGTCCTGTGTTCACTCTGTCCCACGTTTTGCAAAACCTTCGTGACGAAACAAATCCACCAGACGAGGAAGAAGGGGTCAGCCCGCTGCTGCGCACCGTGGTCGACATTCTCAGGCTGAGAGCAGGAGAGCGCAGCGACAGCAAGCACCCCGACCACTGCCCCAGCCCTTCTCCGGCGGCAGCGGCACCGAAAAACGAGAATGAGGAGCAAGACCCGCCGCAGCCCGAGTCTCCCGGGCCAGCACCCTCGTCTTGTCTCCGACGCCAAGCCTCGTCGCCTTCGGCGCCGCCATGCCTCTCTCCTGCTCCGACGGAGTCGACTTTTTTGCTGGCCTTCGCCCGGCGCAACATCTCGATCGAGCGAGTCCTGGGGGAGGCTGAGAGCCTCGGCCTCGCGTGGAGGGTGCCAGATGACTTCGAACCCGCCAGCGCCTCCGAGAACATTTATCTCATGAGTCTTCGGTGACGGGGGTCGGGGCGGCCGTTGGTTCGATGCTTGCGAGACAGCGGGAAGGGGTTCTACTCTACAGTTGTGGTTGCGTGTGGTGTAGGTGCTTGGTTGGTGAAGAAATGTTGTTTTGTTGTTGTCCTCGTCTTGCCTCGATTACCGTTGTTGAAGCAGTTTGCTAGTTCTGCGCACTGTATCGTTGGTTGGGCGACACAGGTTTGAAACCCCGTGATAGTTGTTGTGTCGTGTATTGTATTTGATGGGTGCTTACGAGAGAGCTGGTGGGCACAACTACTGAGGTACTGCTGTAATGGCAACATGGCGTAACTGGTCCGTGCGGCACCGCTTTCGCCGTGCCTCGGCGACGAGTCTTCTTTGGCCACTGAACGGGGTCGTGATGTGTATTGGCATGACCCCCTCGGGTAGATGGTGTCAGACGTTAGCCGAATTTGTCTTTACTCTGCTCCGGTTGCGGCCAATTAACAACCACCGTTCGTTTCTGCGGCTGTAATGGTGCTTGAAATGCAGGGATATAGTAAGGCGGTGTGCTGAACACTGGCGGCCCTCCTATGTGATCGAAACCTCGAATGTATCGCGGCCGTCCGGGTAGACCTTTTTTTATCGGCAACGCACGAATGCTACACATTTCTGAGTCCGTCAAATGCATTGATGAGAAGGTTTTCCAGGACGGGGAGGACCAGTGCCCTCATCGTGTAGTTGATTGAATCTTATGAAAAGAATGAAAACGCATGTAGCCAGGCAAGTTAAGCGGCCTTCTGGGCATTTTTACGGGGGGTGTTTTATTGCACAGGTTCAGTTGTCACTCACTGCGCCTACCCCATTCCAAGCACCGCCCCCGACGACTCGTTGGTCGTTCGGACGACCTTTTCAACATCGCGCCTTCGCTGTGTCCATGACAGAGCATCTCGGCATCATGGAAAACTCAATAGTATATCATATGCGCGTTCGTACGGAACGCCTTCCGTAACAATGTGTAGCTCCATACGCAATGAAAACGGTGTTTTCCCCGAAAGGCGCACAAGACCAACAGCAACATCTAGCTTGCTATGTTCTTCGTTCACTGTCTCCTCTGACTTGTATAGTAAGGGTTCGAATCTCTCCGGAGTGAAATAGTAGGAACAGTATGAAGTATCCATTCCGACGAAGAGTAAAAATAGTTGGCATAGTGGTCGCCCCCGTGGTCTAGTTGGTATCCTCGAAACCTTCTAGAGGTCAGGTCAGGGGTTCGAATCCCGGCGTAAGCGAACTTTTCTTGCAAAGTGAGTTATTCTCTCGCTTCTGCTTCTGGCCTAGTGGATAGCGCTAGTTCGTGTGTACACGGAGGAGGGAAGAGAATGCTGAACTCTTCTCGCATTAAAAATCGAAGGCAAAGTACCGCAGGAGGGGAGGGTGGAGAGGGGCTCTTCTGTGTGACCACGGGTTGGAGTAAACGGCACTAGTGCTGTGAGCGCTGATTTGAAGTGAAGACGAAAAAAATCAAATAAATAAATAAAAGTATATATATAAAAAAATAGGAAGGTTTGTTCGTCGAAGCAGATAGAATAAACTGGTGTTTATTTTGTAACAGTCGAATTAGAATTTGGCTTCATTTTCTACCGGAAACCCAGGGTCACGGTGTTTGGAATTATTAGTCTATAGTTGGGGGTGTCATTCCGTGATCGAGTCCACGCAGGGGCTGTAGCAAAGTCGGGTAACGTGTGACAGCTACAGAGCGCGTGAAGCAACGGAAGGACAGCAGCAGCCGCCTAACGCAGTAGCGGCGGCAGTTTAGAAAAGGGCGGGACGGGACACGGCGCAAGCATTGGGGAAGTGACCAGCACGCGACTCTCCATATAAAGGTGTGTACTCGTGTCCAACATCCATCGTGTCGGCCGTGTTCCTATTCGCGTCCCGCTACTCTTGTGACCTCACCGCTGCGTGCATTTAGCACGAGGGGGGAGGGTGCAGTAAGATAAGCGGCGGCAAGCCAACGCAGTCTCGCTCGCCGCGCCGCTCAGATAGGTCCCTTCCCAAACATGGGATGCGGTTCATCCCAACCGAGACGTACTCTCGCTGAAGAAAAAAAATGCGGTTCGTCCCAACCAGACGTACTCTCTCTGAAGAAAAAATTCAACGGCAAAAAGAAAGAGCGGGGCCTGTTGTATGGTCGCACGCTGACTTGTCGCGGTTGATAGCAGCCATTGTACTGCACGGGGTGGAGGAACCCTGCGGCATCGGACATAACCAATCGACCCGCGGCAGTAGGGCATGATGCTGTCACGATTATGCACATGAGGCAGGTGCCTTGTTTTCTGTTTCCCCCGGCTACTAGGGACTACTTGCCGGTACAATCTTGTCTGTGCCGCGCACAGAGGGGCATATAGCTGAAGGAATCGACGATAATATGCCCACTCACGTAAGCAATCGTCTCCACGGATGGTATTGACAAGTCCCCACTGATGGTATCGACAAGTCCCATGGCATACAAAGCGGCCGCATACGTAATCGGAAAGTGCATTCAACAGCATTCACGGGAACGGATAAAAGCAAAAACACATGCATGCGAGAGAAAGACTCAAAGAAAAAGACTGAAAAACAATGAAGACGAGAAAAAAAAAAACGAGACAGCGAACTACGTGCTGTATGCATAAGGAAAAAGAAGATGAGAAAAAAATAGGGGGGGGAGGTGGATGTGACACGCGAGGTTCGAACTCGCGAGGAACGTCAGGTAGCGGTCCATGTGAGTGCATCACGGTCTCGAGGGGCATCACGTCAAATTTATTGCCGCCGTGACACAAACCTTCTATAAGAATACGTCACGTCCATCGACGATTAAGCGACCAAAAACGCCCGGACAGCAATTGATGCATGCCAAAAACTCGTCCACCTGCCGTAGGATTGTCTATGCGGAAGTGATCTCAATGAAAATAAAAAAAAAACAAGGACACGCACCAGCACGGGACGCGCCAATAGTGGAAGCACTCGTCCGTGCTGTTGGCGAGTGGAAGTTAACCGATCTCAACGCAACGAAACACGAAGTCATACATGTATCAGCACGGGATGCGCCAATGAGTGGAAGCACCCGCGCTGTTGGCGAGTAGAGTTAACCGAATTCAACGCAGCGGTAGAAAAATACCACAAATCATGCATCAGTACGGGACGCGCCAATGAGTGGAAGCACCCGTGCTGCATATGTGATGTCAGCCTCAGCACGGGACGCGCCAATGAGTGGAAGCACTCGTGCGGTTGGTGAGTAGAGTTAACCGATCTCAAAAAGAAAGAACAAAACGCCGTACATGTATCAGCACGGGACGCGCCAATGAGTGGAAGCACCCGCGCTGTTGGCGAGTAGAGTTAACCGAATTCAACGCAGCGGTAGAAAAATACCACAAATCATGCATCAGTACGGGACGCGCCAATGAGTGGAAGCACCCGTGCTGCATATGTGATGTCAGCCTCAGCACGGGACGCGCCAATGAGTGGAAGCACTCGTGCTGTTGGCGAGTAGAGTTAACCGATCTCAAAAAGAAAGAACAAAACGCCGTACATGTATCAGCACGGGACGCGCCAATGAGTGGAAGCACCCGCGCTGTTGGCGAGTAGAGTTAACCGAATTCAACGCAGCGGTAGGAAATACCACAAATCATGCATCAGTACGGGACGCGCCAATGAGTGGAAGCACCCGTGCTGCATATGTGTTGTCAGCCTCAGCACGGGACGCGCCAACGAGTGGAAGCACTCGTGCTGTTGGCGAGTAGAGTTAACCGATCTCAAAAAGAAAGAACAAAACGCCGTACACGTATCAGCACGGGACGCACCAATGAGTGGAAGCACCCGCGCTGTTGGCGAGTAGAGTTAACCGAATTCAACGCAGCGGTAGGAAATACCACAAATCATGCATCAGTACGGGACGCGCCAATGAGTGGAAGCACCCGTGCTGTATATGTGTTGTCAGCCTCAGCACGGGACGCGCCAACGAGTGGAAGCACTCGTGCTGTTGGCGAGTAGAGTTAACCGATCTCAAAAAGAAAGAACAAAACGCCGTACACGTATTAGCACGGGACGCGCCAATGAGTGGACGCACCCGTGCTGTTGGCGAGTAGAGTTAACCGAATTCAACGCATCGAAAACGAAGTCGTACACGTATCAGTACGGGACGCGCCAATGAGTGGAAGCACCCGTGCTGCATATGTGTTGTCAGTTTCAGCAAGGGACGCGCCAATGAGTGCTGTTGGCGAGTAGAGTTAACCGATCTCAAAAAGAAAGAACAAAAACGCCGTACACGTATCAGTACGGGACGCGCCAATGAGTGGGCGCACCCGTGCTGTTGGGCGAGTAGAATTAACCGATCTCCACGCATCGAAAACGAAGTCATACACGTATCAGTACGGGACGCGCCAATGAGTGGAAGCACCCGTGCTCATATGTGTTGTCAGTTTCAGCAAGGGACGCGCCAATGAGTGGAAGCACCCGCGCTGCGTACAAGTATCATCAATGCGGGTCGCGCCAATGAGTGGAAGCACCCGTGCTGCATATGTGTTGTCAGTTTCAGCGAGGGACGCGCCAATGAGTGGAAGCACCCGCGCTGTTGGCAAGTGGAGTTCACCGTATCCAACGCATCGAAAAAAAAAAAAAAAAACACGTATCAGCACGGGACGCGCCAATGAGTGGAAGCACCCGTGCCGATGGCGAACCGGGGTTCACCGAATCCAAGAAAATATATATATAAAAAAAAAAAAAAAAGAGAAACCATCGCTAGTGTTCCAAAGAGAGAAATATTCGGGATTGGTCGACGTCCGGTGACCGTAGCGTCAGCAGCAATAATCACTCCATTCAATCCACAGGCGTCGAGAATGAACTAACGCGAGCTCGCGATATAACAACGCGTCGTTCTGGGCCCGACGAAAACCCACGTCAGATAGTTTCGCCCGAAGATAGGATTTGTAGACCATTCTAACTGCAGATCCAGGCGCGCGATCGACTACGCCCACGATGAAGAGGAAAAGAAGTGTTCCCGCAACGCCGCCCTGACGCTCGCCCGCCGCCTGCCGCCGGTCCGCTGCTTATACGACTCCAACCGCGACCAGATGCCGACACGGGCCTCCACGCGGAGCGGCAGGGCAGCGGCTGGGCAAGCAGGGCGAGGTCGGGCGGCGACACCTTCGACACCACGCACGAGAGGTCTACCGCGCGATCGGTGGCGAGCTCGACGGCTCGCCCCTCGACGCGCAGCGGATCACGTACTCCCGCGAGGCGTCGAGCGGTATCCTCCTCGCGAGCGCCAGGGACAGGCACCCGCGGCGACCCCCCCGCTGATGAGACTGAGCTCGCTTCTCTCCGCGGGCTGGTGGACGGCCTGAGGGAGGAGCTGCAGCGGAAGCGCGATGAGGCTGCCGGTGATCGCCAGCAGCTTCAAGCAACGATCGACGACCTGATCGCCACCCAAGCAGCAGGACCTGGCCTTCCGGGGGGGGGTGCAACTTGTGGGCACAACCGCCCCACCATCGGCCTCTCGGGCCCCCGCTACACCCAGCGCCGAGGCGGCTAAGGCTACGGCAAAGGATAGAGCGCGGATGTGGGGGGACCTCCGCCGGGTAAAAGCGTGGCTCATCCTGGGGCGGCCCCCGGCAGTTTCAAAACTGTCGCAGATGGAGTGGCAATCCTTGCTTCGCAAAGGCGTCCTGGTGACAGAGAAAGTGGCGGCATCGCTCGACACGCTCGTGGTTACTGCTTCGCCTTCAACTCGTCGTCCGGTTGCCATGATCGTAACTGCCCACACATCCACGCCCAGAACCCTTCCCACGCTAGGCGCGGAGCGTCCGAAACTCCGGCAACCGGCGCGCGCGGCGTTGGCCACGGCAACGGGGGAGGGCGCGGAGGAGAGGCGCGCGCCGCTGGCGAGGGCGGCGCGAGACCCAAGGCCGCTGGCTTCTTCACCCACGGGAAAGACAAATAGGGGTGCGGGCTCTCCCGCGTAGCGGGGGGGCCTACCTCGGATGGCAGCGCACCTGCGGCTAAATCGAACGGCAGCACGCCGGTCTACACGAGGTTGGCTCCAGGGCTATCAGCAGGTTCAGGACCTGGGACAGGCAGGACGGGACTTTGTTACCGACGTCTTGGCATGCAGCTCGTCGAGCACTCAGTTGCGTCTTCGTCTAGAAGGACTTACACGTCAGGCTTCAACTCTTGGTGCACGTTTCGCAGGCTGACGGAGAAGCCCAAGTTCCTAGGGCAACGTGCCGGGGACCTTCATGTGTGGGAGTTGATAGACTTCGTAGCCTGGTGTTTCGAGTCTGAGGGTAATCTAGCGAGTACAATATCCGGAAAACTCACGGCTGTACAACATTTTCATAGGCTGGAAGCTTCTGTCGAGCTAGACTTGTCGTCTCCGATGTTGAAATGTGCGCTAAGGGGGATTGCGAGGAACCACGTGGCTGTGGGGACGGTACGCCGTGTGCGCCTGCCTGTGTCTTGGCGTATGCTGCTGGACGGGGAAAGCGCAAGCCAGAACTGGGGGGAAGGGGGCAGAGTGATGTGGCTGTGTCTGTGCTTGTCCTATCTCTTTATCACACGGTCTGATGAGGTGTTCGCGAATGATGCGGGCAGGGTGCATGAGGCACACTGTCTTACGAGGGCGGACGTAGCATTGTTTGCTGGCGAGACGCAATTAGTCTTTAGTCACTATCGTAGAGCAGACCGTGTCGAAATGAGGTTTAGAGGGCACAAGGCCGATCAAGAGCAGAAAGGAAACATACGGGTTCGTACGCGAGACGAAGTCACCGGACCGCAGTCAGGTGTGAGAGCACGCGGTGGCGCGGTGGCTCTTGTGGTGGAGCTGTTATCGTGTCATGCGACGTTCCCTGACTCCGCACCGTTGGCTTCGTACCGTAGTGGAAGAGCAGTGAGAGTAGTGAGGTATACTGCTGCCTTCCGTGCACTCAGAGAAGTGGTAGCGAGGTCGGGGCGTAACCCCCAGGAGTACGCGTTGCACTCGTTGCGAATTGGAGGCGCGACGGCTCTTGCATCGGGCGGAGACATCGCAGAACGAGTGATTCAGAGAGAAGGGAAGTGGAGGTCGGATGCATACAAGCCGTACGCGCGAAACAATGTAGAGGATTCGCGGCGAGTGTCACGGAAACTTACAGACGGCAGTAGGATCGTATCGAGACAGCCGGGGGAGGGGACCGTCTGGGGGAACGGATAGTTGACTTATTCGGTAGTCGTCCAGAAACTGACCTCGATGTGGGTGTTGTAGAATGGTGTGTACCATTTGAGGACTTGGTCAGTTTTGGGACTCCTGCGTTTGCAGTCGTAGTCCCCCGGCTAGTATTTGTGGGGAGAGAGATGGATTTGTAAGAGTTGACGCCGGCCTTTGCAGCTAACGCGGCCGGAGAGACGATGAGCGTTTCGTGCGTCTCTCTCCCCAACACGTAGCCTAGAAACCGAAGAAATAATGAAGCAATTCGAAAGAAAACAAAATAAAAGGAAGGTTTGTTCGTCGAAGCAGATAGAATAAACTGGTGTTTATTTTGTAACAGTCGAATTAGAATTTGGCTTCATTTTCTACCGGAAACCCAGGGTCACGGTGTTTGGAATTATTAGTCTATAGTTGGGGGTGTCATTCCGTGATCGAGTCCACGCAGGGGCTGTAGCAAAGTCGGGTAACGTGTGACAGCTACAGAGCGCGTGAAGCAACGGAAGGACAGCAGCAGCCGCCTAACGCAGTAGCGGCGGCAGTTTAGAAAATCCCGCCCTCCCATCCCTTTTCTTTCGAAGGTGGGGGCATAAGTTCGGGAATATTCGGTATCTAGTCAGGTGTTGTAGAATGGTGTGTACCATTTGAGGACTTGGTCAGTTTTGGGACTCCTGCGTTTGCAGTCGTAGTCCCCCGGCTAGTATTTGTGGGGAGAGAGATGGATTTGTAAGAGTTGACGCCGGCCTTTGCAGCTAACGCGGCCGGAGAGACGATGAGCGTTTCGTGCGTCTCTCTCCCCAACACGTAGCCTAGAAACCGAAGAAATAATGAAGCAATTCGAAAGAAAACAAAATAAAAGTGTAGAATTCATAGCGTACACACAGTTCGACCAGCAGGTGTACGGGATTGCTACTCCATATGCCCTGGAAAAACCAGGAAAATAATAAACAAAACAAACTCCAGACACAAGTTTAAAATTGGCCAAAACAAAACACACCAATTCTATGTTTTTGTTCTTGCACACGCGGTAGCGCGGCGCGCCGTTGGGTTTGTTTTCGAGTTGACTCAAGGCGAGCATGAGGAACGGCGGAGAAAAACAATCAGCGCTCCTATTGAGGTTATACGTTCCTTCTGTGTGCCCGGTTGGTGTACCAAACATGTGCCGAAAGTGTAGACTGGCGCCCAGAATAGATGCAATGAGGCGAAACACCGTCGTCCCATGTAGAGGTGACACACACATCAATGCCGCGTCCAAGGCCTTGCAGGTATGCCACTGTACTCCAGAGTAGGAGCTTTCGGCCATATTTCGTATTGGAACAAATTTGAAGCGGTTTTCTCCTGATGTATCGCACATGCGTTGGATAGTGGCCATGTTGCAGGCGGGGTCTACCGCCATTGTGTGCAGTAAATACGTCAATACTACCAGGCTTCTACATTACGCATACACGTAGACTACAAGTCGCAGTTTGGAAGTAAATGAAGTAAACATGTCTGATGAAACCGCCGGAACCATGCGGCGGAACCATGCCGGCGGAACCATGCGGCGCAACCGGGGTACCATCGCAACTGCGAACAGCATCTGGTGCGAATCTTGGAGGACAGGGCGGGAGCGTCAATCTCCGAGCCACGCGTGTGCCCCCATGCCTTCCGACATCCAGCGACAGCTGTGAGTGCGACGTGTCTGCTGTTTTGGGGTGTACAAGGGTCCCGTGTGTGGTGGGCCACCTGGATCGCAGCAAAAAACAAAGAACATGATGACGAAGGGCACGAATGCCGTGCGCTCGAAGTGCGTAGCGCATGTTCTACCTCATAGTCGTTCTACTGCATCTACAGGTCATGAAGCTTCGCCCTGGTATACATTCTCTCGTCTCGTCTCTCGCTGTTAGCAGCGATCATTTGCACCTGGAATGCACAGCAGGTTACGGCTACACGAGCAACCCCTCCGTCGTTGCCTCTTTTTTTTTTGCGTGGTCTACTCTCGCGAGCGCTGGCTACGGCTGCTGCTGTAGAACATGTACCAGGTTTGGCGGCGCACAAAGCGGGATCATATTACCTCCGGACAAACAAAAAACCGGCTGAAGCAGCACAGTAGGTATCGTGAAATATATCCTACGATACCCCAATTCGAACGATAGGAAGATGAGGAATTCCATCTTGAACACACACAATGAATGGCGGCACTTGAGTTTACATGCTGAGAGTGTAGAAATCGTGGTACCCAGTTCGGCACAATTTCGGTGAAACATTAGACTACTGCGTACAAATAGTCTACAGCCGTAGACGTGGACGCCATCACTCTGACGGCACGAGATAGGCGCAGGCTACCTGAAGGAACACAATGTTTCAGCAGTGCCCGTATTTTCATCTCTGGACTCTGGACTAGAAGTCTACATGACGGCCGGCCATGGTAAACTTGGGCTTGATCCCCTCAACACACCTCCACATCATGTTGCTGCAGAACAAATTCCTGCAGAACAAACAACACCCAAGATGCCTGTGACAGCTATCAGTTAGCACCACATAGTCCATACAGTGCCCAAAATTCTCTCTGGGACACTTGACGATGCAGCAAGCACAATTGGCAACAGACCGTCCAGCAGGAGAACACAAAACCCCAAACCTGTCTTGCGCGAGGGGCTTTCAAATCGAGATATCTCGGGGACTTGACAACTACATGAGAGAATTGAGGCCCTGTCTCTTGTTTTGGAGACAAGTAATGGTGCAATAGAGCACTGTCAGGCATGGTGCACCGCGCGCTTCGGGTGTTGTGTGCCAACGCAAGACAGTATGACGCATGCCGACTTCCGTTGTCTCCGTTAGGGCCGTGGTTCGACTGCAATGTCGACAGACACAGATGCCGAGCGCAGCAGAGGGAGAAGTTCTGCAGGCCTTCAAGCGGGCGATGATGAAAGAAAGGGCTATCATTATCAAGGCACTCTCTGAGGTGTCCGCCTTCGGTGAGCCCTCTTCATTTCTACCCCACCCTAAATAAACCTTCGTGTGAGCAAATGAGCTTGAACTTTTTGGGTACATTGACGACGTCTTGGTTGGACACCATAAGAAATGAGAAAACTAGACTTGAAGCTGTACGTGTTCACCCTGCTTTGCCGTGTTGTACACGGGTAAAGATGCAAGGTGTATCCTCGTGCGGTCGTTGGTAATAAATTGTAGAGCGGGGAGACACGCCACAACGGACTGAGTCCACAACCTTGCTTGCTGCAAGCTTGAAGTTTATACTGGTGGGAGTATCGACACGAACATGAGATGGAGCACCACGGCAACGGCTGCCTTGTTTCGCTCGCGTTTGCCCTCTTGTGAGGTGGACGCTCCCAATCATCGAAATTATGGCAGTTTCGTGAACGAGGGAATGCTGAGAAGCTACGCTGCAAGGCTTGGGCGAGCCGGCGGTGGTTCCACGTTTGTGGGTTGCCCAAAAGCTTACCCACCTGAGAATTTTGCGTTCCACAGCCTTTCGGGCCACACACTGGTTGAATTCGACTGCGGCACGGGGGATTGGTCGAACGTGCATAACATCTGAAGAACCCTCTGGACTTGTTTCTACTTGAACACAGCGACACGATGCCACGACCACGCGCAGACATAAAGCGTCACGCCCCAACCCGCTCTTTTCCTGCACCCCGGCCCCGTTCTGTTGAAAAGGACCTCTTGATCGTGCCACGTTGGAGCACATCGCTGATGGCACCTCGGAGAGAGCGGTGCCGGACGGTGAAGTTGTTGCCGCACAAGATGCTCTTGCTACGGAGGTGACATGGGAATATGCAAGCGTATCGGAGTGTTCATTCTGGTTCTGGCTTCGCCTTTGGCGATCGACAAGCGTGCAATGGAAGTGGTATAGAGTGGTTCCGAACGCCATCCGAAACGATTTGATACACTCTGGATTGGAAGGTAATACACTTCGTCCATTGCTTGACACGTGACTGCGCACTCAGCATTGGTTGTGAAAACGGAAAACCGGTCTTTTGGTTCACTTTGGATCTTTCGACGTCTTCCGCCCCACGCGTTTTATCCCTTTCTGCGATTCCATACCAATCAGCTTGGCGGTGCGAGTTGCTTGGTCATCATTGCAAGCAGTTTCTCAACAAACCCACACCATGACGGCAACGGCCAATGGTTCCTATCGCCCTACTTTCCACAGCATCGCTCGACTCGACGCCCGAACCCAACCCGCTGCCCCTGCCCCCCCAGTACCCGCGCGCTTCCACCGGTAGCAAAGAGCCTTAGTCCAAGTTTGATCCCAGAAACAAGCATGACCACGGGCAAACTCTAACCCAACCTTACCGGGAGACCTTCCTGTAAACAACTACCATCCCCCTTATCTCTCATCCCATCAGTTTTACATAGTCGTGTCTGGTGTCATTCGGGTAAGCCGGCGGGCGGTTCTGACGGAGGGTGCGACGGGGCGGTCGGAGGAGGTGAACCGGCTGCTTGCGGGAAGCAACTTCGGCGCCGGAGAGCTTCTGGCAGGTGAGGTACCGTCCCTTGAAAGGCGCAGCCCGCATCCTTCCGAGGTCCGGCATTCCGCGAAGCTTTGAGCTGGATAGCCTTCTCTTTTACCCAAAGGACTAGGCTTTTGGTTAATGTTTATTTGCTGTTCAACGACGGGGTACAGGAGTGTGGACGCCTATCGACCATGCTTGCACACGTACCATACGGAGCCCTACATCCGATGCGTATCTGGGTGTTTGTATCGACGATTGGGTAGGCGAGCCTTCAGCCTTGTGTGGGCACGGTATGTGTTGCAATGCAGGGACTACACGTCGCACGCACTGAAAGGCGTGCAAACCTAGTATCTGAGCTAGCCTTGTACCGTTTGAGGCATCCCCTCCGGTAAATATTCCGTAGCGAGAGCTACGTTTGAGGTGGACTCCTTCCCAACAGAGAATACGTCAGTGGTTTGACTTGGTGAGATAGTCACCATAGAAATGATAAAACGAACCGATGATCCAACACCCGCCTCACCTCGCTCTATACGATTCAGCGGATGCGAGCCCCAATGGATGGCCCATCATGTATTAAGTCTTCCGCTAAAGGTATTCTTCATTTCTTTGGATCGACAGGGACCTACTATTTTTTATTTCAATGGTTCATGCATGTTGGTCTATCTTGCCATTGAAAACACAGGGGAGCAGTACTCCACGACGTATGAAGCGGCGGGGCCCGTGACCCTGGCCGTCATGGGCGTAAACGACTTCCACGCCTGCACGGATAGAGCCATCGTCAACAAGTCCAATACCAGTGGCGTAGGCGGGGGGTCGTCAGAATCTTCTGTGACGTGAGCAATCAAGGGCTGCGCGCGGTGCTTGTTGGGCGTTACTGACCGATTACAGTAAGGCCACATGTTCAGAGGAGCAAGGGGTGGAGCTCGATTTCTACGGCAGTTGAGGGCACCTAGGGAAGGACCCGCCGAACAGTGCCAATACCCGAAGTAGGCCCAGCGGCATCACTGCAGGCGGGTTGTTGGCCATGTCCACTCTTGCAAAATCAAATCGTACACTCCGGGTACTGAAATTTTGTATGATTTTTGGCCAATGCACGCTATTGGATCTCCGTTTAGCCTTCGCACGACGCGGATTTGGGCTCGTAAGTATTTGCCTCAGTGTTGTCTACTTTTCCTCGTGCCGATGATTCATAGGTCTTCTTATGTACTCCCAAAAGCGCTTACCAACTCTTTGCTCCTATTACCATTAACTCCCCGTAGACACGACCCTCCGGTAAACCCAAAGGCGAGGTGTCTTGTGTCTGGCGTCTGTTGGACCTTTCGTTCATGCGCAGCAGCGTTGTGCTCTCTCTCCTTGCATTCCCTCGTACGTCGTCCACAGCGACGAAGAACTGGAGGAAGGAAGCGCGGGGGAGGGCGAAGCGGGAGGAGGTGCCATGACGCTCGCGGGGGGTGGAGGGAACGCCTTCCCCGACCGCGTGGCCAACGTGAGACGACCGCGTGCAGCCCCGGGTGTTCCTCCGTCGCGGGCGTTTCTTCCTGGGCGATTTAGCCCAATCTCGTGACAATGGGGTGTTCCGCGCCGCAATAGTAGTACTCCCCCCTTGGCCGCTGCTACCCATCGTGGTGCTGCGCATGAGAGTAGTTTCGGGCCGGAAACCACTGAACGGTTTAGAACAAGAGTGATGATGACACAAGGTATCAACCACCCGTTCGACGGACGTTCGCCAGGAGACCGTCACTTCCACTTGTGTCTCTCGTGGCACGTCGTAATGACCAGGGCAACACCACACGTTCTTGCTGTTGCCGCTGCTACTGATGCTGTATCTTCCCGCTCCGCGATCTTTTCCGGCAACCGTCCAGGCTGTAAACCGAGTCCCGATCTTCGCGCCCCTGTCCATGGAGCAGAAACGCCTCGTGTCGCACGCCCTCCTGGAGGTCCACTTCCGCCCAGGACTCTACATTTGCGAAGAGGTGGCCATACCTTCTACGTTCCCGCAGTGGCGCGAGGATTGTACATAAATAACAACAATGAGCGAAGAGTCGGCCGCGTAATCTGTCCCAAATGAGGGACACTGATAGAAGGCGTTCGCTCGCGCGGACTGCTTGAGTACAGGGAAGAACGCCCAGAAGTGTTTTTTCCTCTGACACCTCCGGCACCGCAGTCTATGGCGCCGCGTTCCCTGGGGTCCGAGTACATGGATGCTTGGGTACACGCTGTGACGCCAAGATTGTGTTTTCCGGACCTGGTACAAATCTGCTAGTTTTCTGTGAAGAGGCATGACAAGATCGGTCCCCACAACACTGGACCGCGGTTCCAGACCGTTTGCAATAAGATACGTTCGTTTACCTGCATCCCGGCGCCGGCTAAAATGTTGAAAGTCTTCGTTTCCAAACGAATCGACCGTGCGTGACAGGGGAAACCGGGGAGCTCGTTCCACATTATCACGTCCGGTACATGCCGGGTCACGATCCACGACCCCAACGCTCCCGGACAACGACGGGAGGTCACTAAACTGCACCAAGACGACTTCTTCGGTAAGGAAACCCCAATTTCAATGAGACGGACAGCGCAGGCACCGTTGTTTTCCATCACCTAGCTGTACTACTGGTCGGCTCAAACGCGAAGAACGTTTATGCGCGTTCGATGTTTGCAGCCTCGTCGCCGCGCTGACAAGTCGATTCCTCTGTTGCTATTGTCTACGTTTTCGATTCTAGGCTCACGGATGAGTCGCAGTAGGTCCTCATTCGTAGGCTCAACCATCATATGATGGCCGCTCGTATCTCGAATCAGCTCCGAATACGGCGTAAATTTCGATCCCTTGACCGTGGGGACTCCGAAGTTGTTGCTGCTTTTTGGGAGATGGTGGTGGTAGTTGATATCGTCGCAGCAGATATCTCCCTCCTACCAGTTGTTGGTTGAGACGTGTGAAAGCTATCGTAGAGAGGTGATGCGTTTGCTTCGGACTTTCTCTCCCGTTGTAGGCGAGGTGGCCCTGTTGGAATCCGGGCTTCGCACAGCTACCGTTGTCGCGGAGACGGACGTCACCTGCCTCAGCTTGACCAGAAGGTGGGAACCATGTGGCAAGCTAGTGCCACAGGCGAGTGGGATCCCGAGCTTCGGCGTTCTGATGCCCACGCTTCCCCACTAAAAAAAAACCGTGTTCGATTTGTTGTTTACGACGTCTTCGACGTCTTCGACTTTTTCTCGGTGGTTGGCCACGAGACAAGGACTGATTCCATTCACGCTGCGATACATTGACCATGGCAACCCCGGGCGTCGGTATCACGTAAGGAATGCCTGCCCCCGCTTGTTTGTGTTTACGACGGCTCGCAGTGCCCGATGTTAACGCATTCGATAGAAACTAGTACCAAGCCCATTTCACAATGTATGTTCGGGGCGTCAACCAAGAAACGGGTATCCTCACGAACCCTTGCCTGTGCTTGAACGGCTTTGGTTCCATCAATTTGCCGACGGCAGTAATCCCTGCGTACGACCTGCAAAACAACTCAAACAAACAAGACAGGCGGTGTAACCACGCGAATGGGGTGTGGCCATATCGACCATTTTCCGGGGCAGGGATTGGGCGCAATAATGTATTTGCGGCAATGATAATTTGGTTCACACATTGTGCCAGTTTTGCAGCGCAGAAATAGCGCATGTATTTCCGTTGTCAGTTCATCGGGAAGGGAAGAGGTCGGGGACATCAGCTCGCGATGAGACAAATACCAACAACCCGCAAATTATTATTTCATGTTTGATGCGAGACCTGTTAGCACCAGTAGTGTTGCTTGTATGCTCGTACGCAAGTAGCCGCTGACGCACACGCGACGTGAAGAATAGCTGCTGCTGCCCCTGCTGTCCTTCTTGCTGGCGCCAACGCAGGCACTTCGACCTGTACCTGAAACCTATCAAGGCGGCTATCCTAGAAAGCGCGGCGGCCAAGGAGCTCCAGGTGCAGCAATATTGCAATGTTTTCCGTACGCTTGTAGGGGGGCCTTGATTGGTGCCAGCGGGTCTAAGATATGAGACACTAGCAGTTGTAGTTTCCGGTGTTTGTTTCCATTCAACACCATCCAATGTGGAATCGGACGAGCTGCAAGACGCTTTTCAGTGACTGTTTTTTTTCCGACGTGACTGCTGTGCATCGACACAGAGCTTGCGTGAAATTATCGAAACCCAGCCTTTGTGGCACCGTGTTCATGGGCAATGAAGAAAGCGTGGGAAGATGACATCATGCTATTTGTTTAAGGTGCTGGCGGCAGCCGCTGTTGTGGCTAATTAACGAAAACACGGTGTTCTCATCCACGTATATGCACGCCTTTCCTCTTTGGTGGTTGGTGCTGGCACCCTTGCGCAGTGTGAGGTGCATGTATGCATTTTGTGGACCCAGTAGGTTATTTGTTCGTCGAAGGCGTTCGTTTTCCTTTTTGGACCAAGACCCAGCGTGTTAGGAAGCATCACAGGTTCACAGGCTGCGTGGGTCATGCCCGAGCCGTGCAAGCACCCTCATTTTCGTACAACGCAAGATATTTACCGTTGGTTATTGTCTAGGGTATCCAGGACAACGCCACCATCATGACGACGGACTGCGACCTTGTTGGCCTGAACCTTCCAGGGCACCCATACATCGGGGTCACTTACGCACGTACCAAGTGGTTGCAGCTGCTACCTTCACTTCATAGGTGGACCTCGCGAGCACATGTGTTGGACTTTCAAGGATTTGGCTCTAGAGTCAACCGCGGTGCCCCGAGTACCGTTGTGACACAAGACATCACACCCCCTAGACCGATTTTCGAAGCTCAATTACTCCACGGTGAAAAGGACGTCTTAATCAAACCATGCTTGGGCGAAAAGCTCTCAACGAGACGGTTCCAACACAGCGTTATTTGGCACCGCCACTCCTTCTGCTGTGGAGCAATCAAGCTTCGAAAGTCGGTCCAGGGGGTGTGATATCTTGTTCCACCTACGGCAGCATAGGTACAGAATATGGACGTTTACAGGCTCGATAGTATCACGGGAAGCTTCGTTTCAACTTCCGACGTCTTCTACTTGCCCCCAACTATTCTTAATAGAGGGAACGGGAGATAGCGAGGAAGGCGAGCTCGGAGACTCGGTCGATTCGGTGAAGACTCAAAACCTACCGTTTAACGGTGCAAGCATGTTGGTTTTGGCCCGACATGACCCTCTGATGCGCTCGTTCGAGCTATCTAGGCACGGCAATCACGAAACAAGGGTCCGTGCGTTGCAGGTGCTGCAGATGGACGAAGACGAGTTCGACGACGATATCGAAGATCAATTCGATGGCAAGCCCGACAAGGCCAGAAACAGCGGGGTAGGGGACGGCGCAGGGGAGGGGGATGGCAGCGGCGCCGGCGACCGTGGCGAGGAGAAAGGCGGCGGTGGCACTCCTGGGGCCGGGGGCAGCAGGAGCTTCAGGAACCCTAGACGAGGCGGCAGGAGACGAAAGCGGATTACTTCGTTTCGGGTAAGAGGGAGAAATGAGTGAGACACTACGCTTCATCACTACTGCTGCATCGCTTCCACCCGTCAGTTTACGCCGCGACGAATTTGCTTGATACCCAGGGTCAGAGGCGGGATGAGATAGGGCCCGTGGTGGTACTTGTATTTTGCTTCGCGTCCACACGTATATGTTGAGACACATCGGTGCGACTCCCTCCCGCTTGTCCTGACGTTTGGTGCAATGTTTGATGCAACAGGGAGTGGCGACCCATGCTCTCCGCGTCCAGAGACGAGCCCGAATCAACTTCTACGACCGATTCTCCGATGATGTGTCGATACCCTTGTCGCCTGCGAAGGACTCGAGACGGGTGAGACAAAGTGTAGCAGCTGGGGTTCGGTATGGTTCACCGGGAAGTTCAATAAGTTTATGTTTACCTCGACGGCTTCGCAGTCTTGCAAGAACCTAGGAATGCGGTCTAAATTATCCAAGAAATCCAAGAAATGTGATCCTGCAGGTTCTTTGGGTTTTCCTGCATTTTCGAGAGGGTGTGTTCGTTGTTGACACGAAGAACATAGGCGCTGGTACTAGGATTGCCCCCACGAGCTGCTTTGTTCGTGGAAGTCGACTTGTTTTTGGTGAATAAGTTGGTCATGCCCGTTATGTTTTCCTCGCCAGGCCAGCCGAAGACTTAGCGGTATCTCCGGGCGGTTGCGAGGAAGCCAGAGTAACGGCACCAGTGGTAGCGGACGATGGATGTTGGCGAAAGCAGCCACCGTCGCGACGGATATAGAAGCATTGACAAAGAGCAGGGCCACACTGGTAGTGAGAACTATCGCCAGGATGGTGAGTGGGAGACGTAGTCGACGATTGATTCGCTGTGGAGGACGACCAAGGACGCGTTCAGACGTAGATCATGTGGTAGTGAAAACATTGCCAAGTGTTAGGACAAAAACAACTTTTTTCTGCACACGACTTGAAGTGCCCCAGCAATTGCAGTCGACGGGCTAGCCCAAGTTGTGCTCAAACCGATACGATGACGGCGGTAACCCGAAAAAAACATCGAGGGCATTTTTTTCTCCTTCAAGAACGCTTGACAGATTGCCACAAAACGTGACGAGGCAGGCAAGGCAAGCAAAGGGAACCAGACGCTGAGCAGGCGAACACCCGGAATAACCCGGCATTGTACAGTAGCTTCACGCATATTTGGCGATGACAATTTATCCTCTCTTTCACGTGCTTGTGGGGAATACTTTCTCGGGCACGGTTTGCTCTGCCTGCACGCTCCAAAAAATATCTTTGTGGACGGAACCCCAGGGGTAAACTCAGTTATTTGTGCTTTTCTGCAGATGGTTCTCGCGCTGGAAAACGATGCGTACGGCATACTGCTGGACGAAATGATTGACAGGTGAGCACAACCACACCGTCCCATCTACCTCCACTTAAGTCCAATATTTTCTAAACCGTTTTGTCGTGGGCGCTGCAAGCTCTCTGCACGTAAATCTTACCCATTTCCAAAACTCTTCAGTCAAAGACCGTATGTCGTCGCAAGCACTGCGGTATCTGCATCGTTGTGTTGTGTATAGGGCGGGCTCAATTTGTGTTTTCAACTAAGTATACTATAAGGCGATAGAGCAGATAGCGAGCGGGATTTCGTTCAATACCGTACATTTGGTTTTTTCTCGTAAACACAGCATTGAACGACTGTAGGTGGCCATGGTCTGCCCTAGGACCCGTCTTGGATCCTATTCGCGCCAGCGGCTGGCCTTTCTCTCCTGGTTTAAGATGACAGCATTACTGAGAACCGAAACTCGTGATGTGGGTCAAGTCAATGGGTACCTCCCCCTCCCTGGACGCTTGTCGGCCCGTCCACCCATCACGTTTTGTCTTTGGCCACGCCCAACAGGCCAACGACCCTCCCGGAGTGTAACAAGATCGTCAGCAAGGTATTTCACACCCACAGAGATGCGGCAAGCCAGTGCCAACGGCGAATTCTGTGCACTTTGTCAGATGACGAGGGCGTTCCTAAATTCCCGCCAATGCCCGCGTACCAACGCATGTCGTTTCGGAGAACGATCTGTGCTCTTTCCGTCATTGCGGACGAAAGGAACGGCAGTATTCATTATTTAGCACGCCGAGAAGCCAACGCGACATACAATACACGAAAGGGCAGTGCGCGCAGCACATGGTTCTCCAGGGGGAGGTTCAAGGCCCGCTGGTCGCCTTCAGGACAGCACTACATACTACCGGAAAAGAACCGTAAGGCATCAGCAGGTGTCTGCGGGGTTACGCAGTGAAGAATTACGCCCTCACCCTGGTTCCTCTATTTGATTTTGGTTCAGGTGCTCTGCGAAGATCTCCGCAAATGGGACGTCGCTTACGATCTCATCAGGGCTACGGCCCGACGGGGACTACGGAAGACATCCACCAGGCTCAAGGAAGGAGAGGTGGGAGACAGTTCCACCACTTCCAAGAGTGCTCTAGCACGTAGTTTGCGTGCTGCAGACAAAAGTACCACCCCGACAACCGGAATTGCGGTGATGCGAGTGGGAGTCATCGAAAAGGCAGAAACGCATCTGATGACGGGCAAACAGCAATATGTCGCGAAGAGTCCCTCGTGATGGCAGGGACGAAAAAAGCCCAGCGTCTGAAACACCAACCTTAAGAACAGTGCTAAACTATTGATTTTTCACTGTTCATCAGACTGGTCGCACCGGACGTCCGATAATGGAGCTATTGGGCGTTTGCACCGACCAAGCTAACCTCGATTGAAAAAGGAAAACGAAATATTTTGTGTTGCTGAGATTCGTGCTCATCTGTCGTGTTGCTGAATACTCCACAGACTACCCAGCATTCTACTCCGAAGAGAGGGCGTGATTGGCCAGGCTGTCTGACTTCATATTTGACGCTCGTTTGTTTGCCGTAGGATGTGAACGTGGATGAAAAGAAAGTTAGATCCCATGGGATCACTCATACAGAGTTTCAAAACATCAACTAGGTACGAAGCATTAACAATAGGTAACAAACGGACGTTTCAAAACACAAACATGACCGAGGTTTCGAGCATGACGAAGAGAAGTATGTCTCTGGGGTACTATTTCATATGTGAACAAGTCATGCCCCAACCTAGACTACGTCAAGGGTGGCAGAATGCCGCGAGGCAACCGTTTCCAGACCGTGGGATGCTTGTGTGTGGCTGCTTTCACCCACCTGCAGTAGCTCTTGGACAGCGTGGTGGTTTCCAACCTTTTGATGATGCTTCACACATCCGGTGTTCGACGACTAGCCACCGTCAGCGAAGTCTCTGAGTCGACTAGGCCACATCGCACGGGTTCGCCCTCCTGTTGCTGCCCAACCCTTTGCTGTTGTACTGTGATACACCTTCTTTACGGCCTCTTACTGCCGCCCACTCATACACCTTCGGAGTGGCGTCAGGAATGTTCTGCCGTCGATAACCCCGTCGAGGTCATTGACAGTTTAATTGTTTCTGGCCGTTGGTTTGGCGTGTTTTGTCTTTTACAGCTTGCGGTGCTGTCGGGTATGTTCCGCATACATCCCCTCCTTCGGCAACGTCACTGCACGGAGTGGCCAGAGTACCATTGGTCGGAGGTTTGCAAGCACATGCGGCTCGAGGAAGTTCGAAGCTTGGACAAGGTGGGGGCTAAACCATTATCCCTTGATTTTGTTGGCCTTATCCTCCCTCAACCATCGTTTACGAGGGACTGCCGGGACTTCGTATTGTCAGCAAGGAAGAAAAACTGAAGAATACGTTCCAAGTGACCACAGTTTTCGCCCTACATTGTCCCGTGAATGAAAAAAATATATATATTTCACCGTCTTGGTACACAACGAAAGGTTGCTAGCTGTTTGCCCCACGTGTAACGGGGCCAGGTGATTCGGACTAACTCCGCGACGTGGATGCGAGGCGAAAGGAAGAACAGAGTCAAGTAGCGGGGATACGCCACCTTGTCAATGTGCTCGTATCCTTACCTCCAAGGTGGGAGTAGAGTAACCGCACTTTTGAGTTGCTGCGATTATTTTGTTTCTCACCGGTGTTCGCCATCTGGATGTGGACGATCGAGCAGGTGTATGTGCACGGCGCGCATGGGACCAAATGCTACGTCCTGTTAAGGGGCTTGGCGAGAGTACTGCAGCCCGAGGAGGACCCCAACACCGGGGTCGTTCGCTACGTTCCCGACGCGGACCTTGGTCCGGGAGACGTGAGAGTTGCAACGGATACGGTACAATTAAACGAATACGGTGCAACTTAACGTTGTTCGATCCGCTAGCTGTTGGACCATTTTCTCGTAACTCTTCGCGTTGAGAGCGCTACACTGCGAGCGTTGCGGTGTCGGATGACCTTCCGCCGTTCTTCCACGGTTCAGCTCCGGACGGCCCTTCAATCCAGCCTTCTCTGCCTGTTGTCCCTGTCGGTGCTTTCACTGGTACTTCCGCGGGAAAATATGCTCACAATCGCCTTTTCTGCAGGAGTCCCAGCTGTACCAAAGTGACAATGACGGTTCTGTCTCGATGTACATGACCTTCGATGTCCCCCTACACGAAGGATGTTTCTTTTCCAGGGCGATATTGAACCACAGCCTACCCACGTTTACGAACGTGATTGTTGTGTACCGTTTCAGCTGTTCGGCGACGACGTGCTTCGAGGTGTGCCGAAGCGACCTAACTCGGTGGTGGCGGTGACGGACTGCGAGTTTGCCGTTTTGGACGAGTCGGACTACACGACGGTCAAGGACAGAGGGCTCTCCAAGATGTCACTCGACGACAAATGTCACTTCCTGAAGTAAGTCAGGGTCATATCTTGATCGAAAATGGCCCTTCTCGGTCTCTGTTTGGACGCCATTCGTATGTCCGCATTCTCCGATTTCCTTGCCCTGCTGAACAATACTTGTTTTGCCGTTGTTTCGCCATATATTGGCTAAGTTAGACGCGGAAACAAAAAGCGTTTCCGCCTTTCAAATGAAGCCATAATCGTAGGGCAACGCAGCAACTACGTGCCCTCCCTGAGCTTCATCTGTTCTTGCGCCTTTTCATTTTTCTATCTTCGCCTTTTTCTTGCATGGCCCGCCTTATGGCCACCTGTCGGCGTCAAGACGCTGATTGAGTCGTCAAAGAGGCTCCCCCTTGGAGTAAAAGTCGTGTGTTGCCGATGTTGTTACTTCATTGTTGAGAGGCATACTCTAATCCACGCAGTCAATTGTTTTGGAGGCGCACCATGTGACGGGTTATATCTCTGGATACTCCGAATACCCACATTTTTTAATATGTTCCAAACGCCACGAAGAGGGAGCCTCACAGCTCTCCCAGATGCCTCTGGCCGACAACCGCCACTCATCGCCATCGTAGTTCGCATTTGCCCACATGCAAGCGAGACGTGGTAGTTTTTTCTGGACCTCTGACGTCATTCGCTCAACGCAACCCACATTACTATGACTGTGAGCCACGCTCATAGATGGCCTACGACGCCATGTTGCACTATGTTCCATACCGCGATACAAAGCAGCACCAAGAGAATGTAACCATTTTTCATCTGTACGCGATCATACTCATGCTACATAGGTCGTGTTGCGGGCATCACCCAGGCGTGTGATGTCGGCTTGGGTTAGATGACTTCACGCCAATCTAGTTGCGTACGCGTCGCGGTGGTGCGGATAACCTC